TGTCCCTCTGTCCTGGTCAGTGTATGGCCTGCTGGCATGGCTGTGACCATGGCTGTGAGCTGTGTGCCCATGTGCAGTGTGCCCATGTGCAGTGTCTGAGCGTGTCCCTCTGTCCTGGTCAGTGGACAGCCTGCTGGCGTGGCTGTGACCATGGCTGTGAGCTGTGTGCCCGTGTGTGGTGTGCCTGTGTGCAGGGTCTGAGCGTGTCCCTCTGTCCTGGTCAGTGGACAGCCTGCTGGCATGGCTGTGACCATGGCCATGAGCTGTGTGCCCGTGTGCGGTGTGCCTGTGTGCAGGGTCTGAGTGTGTCCCTCTGTCCTGGTCAGTGTACGGCCTGCTGGCCTGGCTGTGACCATGGCTGTAAGCTGTGTGCCTGTGTGCAGGGTCTGAGCGTGTCCCTCTGTCCTGGTCAGTGTACGGCCTGCCGGCGTGGCTGTGACCATGGCCATGAGCTGTGTGCCCATGTGCAGTGTGCCTGTGTGCAGGGTCTGAGCGTGTCCCTCTGTCCTGGTCAGTGGACAGCCTGCTGGCATGGCTGTGAGCTGTGTGCCCATGTGCAGTGTGCCTGTGTGCAGGGTCTGAGCATCCCTCTGTCCTGGTCAGTGTACGGCCTGCCGGCGTGGCCATGAGCTGTGTGCCCATGTGCAGTGTGCCCATGAGCGGTGTCTGAGTGTGTCCCTCTGTCCTGGTCAGTGGACAGCCTGGCTGTGACCATGGCCGTGAGCTGTGTGCCCATGAGCGGTGTGCATGCATGTCCCTCTGTCCTGGTCAGTGGACAGCCTGCTGGCCTGGCCGTGACCATGGCCGTGAGCTGTGTGCCTGTGTGCAGGGTCTGAGTGTCCCTCTGTCCTGGTCAGTGTACGGCCTGCCGGCATGGCTGTGACCATGGCCGTGAGCTGTGTGCCTGTGTGCAGGGTCTGAGTGTCCCTCTGTCCTGGTCAGTGTACGGCCTGCCGGCATGGCTGTGACCATGGCTGTGAGCTGTGTTCCCATGTGCAGTGCCTGAGCGTGTTCCTCTGTCCTGGTCAGTGTATGGCCTGCCGGCATGGCTGTGACCATGGCTGTGAGCTGTGTGCCCGTGTGCGGTGTGCCCATGTGCAGTGCCTGAGCGTGTTCCTCTGTCCTGGTCAGTGTATGGCCTGCTGGCCTGGCCGTGACCATGGCTGTGATCTGTGTGCCCGTGTGCGGTGTGCCCGTGTGTGGTGTGCCTGTGTGCAGGGTCTGAGCGTGTCCCTCTGTCCTGGTCAGTGTACGGCCTACTGGCGTGGCCGTGACCATGGCTGTGAGCTGTGTGCGGTGTGCCCGTGTGTGGTGTGCCTGTGTGCAGGGTCTGAGCGTGTCCCTCTGTCCTGGTCAGTGTACGGCCTGCTGGCGTGGCCGTGACCATGGCTGTGTGCGGTGTGCCTGTGTGCAGGGTCTGAGTGTCCCTCTGTCCTGGTCAGTGTACGGCCTGCTGGCGTGGCCATGAGCTGTGTGCCCATGTGCAGTGTGCCCATGTGCAGTGTCTGAGCATGTCCCTCTGTCCTGGTCAGTGGACAGCCTGCTGGCATGGCTGTGACCATGGCCGTGAGCTGTGTGCCTGTGTGCAGGGTCTGAGTGTGTCCCTCTGTCCTGGTCAGTGTACGGCCTGCCGGCGTGGCTGTGACCATGGCTGTGAGCTGTGTGCCTGTGTGTGCTGTGCCCATGTGCAGTGTCTGAGCGTGTCCCTTGTTCCCGCAGGTGCAGCAGTGAAGGCAGGATGCTGTCCCGACTCCGCGCAGCCGCGGTTCCGTGCGCCCTGGCGCGGCGCAGCCTGCACACCAAGGAGAAGGGCAAGCCRCTCATGCTGAACCCGCGCACAAACAAGGTGGGTACTGCGTCCCTTCTGGGTGCCTTATCTGCCGATAGCCCCGCGGGTCTGGGGCACTGGGGCGCAGCCAGAGAAGGGTGCAGGGACAGAGGAGCTGGGGATGGCTTTGGGGTCACTGCCTGGACACCTGCGTCCTGCACAGTCAGTGCTGCCACTGCCCAGTGGCAGAACGGGGGCTGCTGGTGCTGCCTGACCTCCAGCTCCGTTTGGGGCTGGCTCAGCAGAAGTACAGCTTTAGCAGATGCAGAGTCTTCGTTCACAGTCTGCAGAAGTTAACTCTGAATCCGGACTTGCTAACGATAGACAGTGTTGGGATCTCTGTCCTAGTCCTGGCTCTTCCCTGGAACACTGAGAATTGGGACTGAGCCACAGCACCTAAGAAACATTCCTGTGCAGAGTCTGAAAGAGCATCTAAAAATAAACCTGGACTGGAGCTGACTGGGAAGTAGAGATATCATGTTAATTTCATGCATTGAGGCAAACTTCTAAGAAAATAGCTTTTCATTCCCTTCAAAAAACTGTTCCTATTTCCACAAGCCCATCCTCAGCCTCTTTTTTCTTTTTTTTTTCCTGGAGTTGTAGTGGCCTTCAGGACTCCGAAAGCCCTTAGTATGTAAATTAAAACTGGTAAGGAATCAGATGAGGCTTTTGGTACCTGTTCTAAGATGACTGAAGCGGTCAGGAAAGGTGACAAATTCACCTGTCTCCAACAGGGCATTTCCTGAGCAATGGAGCTGTGGAAAACAGGATTCTTTTCCCCTTCCCTTTTCCCCGGACAGCAGAGTGCAAGATGCCTCAATCCTGCATGAATCCAGGCTGCCTGAGCAGAGAGAGAATTGTGGAAGTTAGAGACCAGCTGAATGCAGAATTAAAACTGARATTGCTGTGTCAGGGAAGGAGGAAAGAGTAAATTGGTGTGATTTGTCAAGATCAGATTATCTCGAGACTTTCTGARCTCTAAAGACTTTGACATGCCTGTGGAAATTACTTCAACCCCTGTAAGCTCTTCCAAATGCTGATTATGCAACAGTATTCAGAAACAAGAACAATAGGTCATTTCTTACTGTTTTTCAAGTGGTAATATCCTTCCATTTTTTATTTTTCTAAACTCTGGAATTCTTTGCTGAACTGAGTACAATGCAATTTTTTTTGAGGCGTAGGAGGGAGYAGGGAGCTTCTGGTTAATGGCAATTGATTTTTTTGAACGTTTTAATGCCTCCAAGAAACTATACTTGTGAGAGGGAAGCCCATTGTGCATTAGCTTGGCTCTGCTGTATCAGTCTGTCCTTGCTGCTGACGCCTGTTGGAATGGATCAGCAAGCTCATTAAGTGATCCTGCTTGATGCTGGATATCTGTATGGAAATGGATTTTGGATATTCAGCGGAGAAATAAGTGATTTATTAAACACACTGGGTACTTTACCCCTTGTGCTTTCCTTGCCCACAGTACCTCACGTGCAGATATATGTATGTGTATATCTATAATTATATACAGACACAGATAAAGGGCATAATCTCTTGCTGGCTGCTTGCTGAGATTATCATGTTTTTCTTGATTATATTTAATTTTTACGGTCCTCTATCAGTTCTGCAGAACATTTGGTGTCCCCTAACACGTGTTCCTAAAACAAGAGGTGCCGAAGGACGGCATCAGGGGCAGAAACCAACCCTCACCCTTGTGCAAACTCATCTGTTGCTCTTTGCCACGGGAGGAGGTTTTTCTCTTATAATCGCTTTTATTTTTTTGCCAGCCCTGACCTGTCTCCTGTAGGTGGACACCCCACCTGCACCAGCTGTTTTGGGGTTTGTGTTTGAGGGTCAGACATCACCTGTGCAGTGTCAGGGTGGCTCAAAAGAGGCCGTGAGCTCTGCCAGCTGTGCCCCCAGTGCTGCAGTTGCACAATGGCAGAGCCGACTATAACTGCTTCTGGCATCCTCTGTCTGCTCAGAGTCCTCYGAGATGTTTGATTTCTGCTCCTTGGCAGCGACTCAAATTGCAGTTAATTGGCTTCAGGACGTTCTATTCTGCTGGAGATCCCTGCTGTGCCAAGGCAGCACTTTAGGCTTGCTGGGCACTCTAGAGCGCTGTTAGGACAATCTCACCAGTTTAGTGCTGGCAATTAAATTGTTACTTTTATTGTGTGGTGCTTTTTGTGGGCCAGGGTTTGGTCTTGGGGCACAGAGCAGGTGATGCACGAGTCCAAGATCCCTGACTCTGATGGTACCTGCTCTGCCACATGGAGTGCCATCMGTGTGTCCTTACCTGTGCTGGAAATACATGCCCTGTGGTGTTTGTTATGTGTGGGGGTTTTTTTTCCCTTTTCTGTGGCTTGCAGAAAATTTGTTGCTCTGAATGATTTGGTGACACTTCCCATGTTTTAGTTGGTGATTTTGGTTGTGGCATCAGTTCTCCTTGTGAAGAAGTGTGACTGTATTTTGTACAGTTGATTCTATTACTCCCTTTTCTGTGACTCTGCTCCTCGAGATTGTTGGGTTGTCACAGAATCACAGAATCCTGGAGGCTGGGAAAACCCTCCCGTGGAGAGGGACTGCAGACCATCAAGTCCARGSTGTCCCTRATCTCCASCTTGTCCCCAGCCCAGAGACCTGAGTGCCACATCCARGCCTTCCTTGGGCACCTCAGCGTTGGGGACTCCAACACTTCCSTGGGCAGTTGCAATGTCTGACCACYCTTTCCATGAAGAAATTCCACCTGTTGTCCAAAAACTCCTCCTCTACTGAGGAGGCACTGATAGTGCCTCTCAAACACCCAGCTTCAGCTGGAATTGGGAATCACACATGCACGTATTTGTGTATATGTATGTGCCCATCCACATGTGCTTGGAAATACGTGCTGTTTATAACTTGCACTGGTGGAGGTTAATCCTAATCCTGAGAAACTTTCCCAGTGTCTGTCTTCCATAAGAGTCATCATCTTCTCATATGTTACATTTTGCTCGCAGTTTGATCTGTGTTCATTMCCAGCTTTTTCAGCCCTATTTATTTTCATCCATGTCTTACTGAATACTTCCAGAAACTCTGATGAATTTACCTTTGTATAARGAGACCATTTCCTTAAGAAACTCGTACATGGTCTCACTGATTACAGGGAAATTCCCTAACAGTGTGTTTCCAATTCAGAATAAAAAAAAATAAACAAAAAAAAGCCAAACAAAGTCAAAGCTATTTGGACAAAATAAAGGGTGGGACGAGAGAATGTAAAGAAAATATTGTCTTAGCTTGTAGATATAAAAGTAGATCTGCMATTTCTCACCATGCTGGTTTTGACACTTTCCATTGATTTTAATACTTTTTAGATTTAGCCTGAGTCAGCTGGGCTGGGCAGCCAGGGCGTGGAAGGCACGATGCCCGTGGGCCTTCCYGGGGAAGCCAGGACAAACAGGATGTGCAGAGTTTCTGCACACGGTGGGTGTCTSGTTGCTAAGACTTGCAGTGCTTGAAACTCTGCTGACAGCATCTGATCAGGCACAGAGGAAGGTCTGAGAAGGCAGGAAACTGCCAGGAGCTGTGCACACACACCCCTGGCCCAAAAATCCCTGGCAATTCTGTGTCCTGCCCGGCTGGGTTGGAGACTGAGGGATTCTGGGATGGAGTTTGCGTGGCCGTGCAGCTGAGGGTTTATCGCCTTCCCCGAGGTCTGAGTGCTTGCAAAAGGAATAAAACGTGGAAAGGTGGGACTGTTCAATCTGTAACCAGGTGCCAAAGGTGGTAGGAGGGTATGGAACCTCACTCACCTGAGAGGAGGTGTTCTGTTTGGGACCTGTGAACTGCTGGACAGGGGTGGAGGGAGGAAGGAAGGGATGGGATGGGAATGCCATGGGATTTCTGTTGGAGARTTAATGCCCGTAAAGGAGAGCGAGAGCAACCACATGTGCTCAGCTGGAAAAATAACAGTTTAATGAGSTGTCCCCGAGGTGCTCAGGGATGCCATTTCAATCATCATGCTGATGATCTGCAGTGTGCAGCTCTTCCATCACCGTGGAAAACAAGCCCGGGAGAGGCCGGGTCACCTCTTTGGCGGCGTGTGAAGGCTTTCTGCAGCCGGCCTTTGCCCCTTTCCTGCAGCGAAATGCTTTCAGCGGCAGCCCCATCATTAGCAGGTGAGCCAGGTGGGCTGGCTCAGTGTGGCTCCTCGGCCAGGTRGTTTATGACACTCGTACACAGGGGTCCAGGAGCTGGTGGCAGCTTTGCCTGCACGGGTGGAGGTGTTCAGAGCGGGAAGGAGATGCARCAGCAGGGACTACCTCGCTGTGCGGTGTCAGCCACGACCCTCTAGGGTATTGATTCTGCTATTTCTGCGAGAATGAAGGTGGAAAATGGGGCTTGAAACATGAAGGAGGAAGGAAATCAAAGATTAYCATATTCTGACCTTGTTCTCACAAACTTTTAATCTCTGGTAGAGATAGCAAAGACACCTTTGATTCTTATGAATGAACTTTATGAATTTGCCATGGAGGCATCTTGTGCAAYAGTGACCTTTGTGTTTAGCCTGAGGGAGCAAAGTTAAGAGAAACCRCCCACAATCTGACATAAAATCTACTTTATTTTCAAGATGTTTATGATATTGCTTCAAAGGCTGTCCCACAGTGCTGTATGTGTTCTGACAATTATTAGGGCTTACATGGAAGCCATTCTTTAAATCTTTTGTGCAGCAGAGTAACTCATTCTCCTATCAGTGGCGTATTTGGATATAATCTGTATGTACATGTTTACCATGAGCCCCCCTGAGTGGGGTTTTTGTTGTATATGGGAGCATTTGTGGGTCAGTTAAAAGTCCACTGTCTTTTGTACATAGCTGCAAGACTTGCTGGTGGGGAAAGCTTACCACCACTGCTCCTTCTTTACTCRGAAACCTCTCAGAATTACTTACTCGGTAGTGCTATAAAAACCGTGCTTGCAGGATCCAGGCTCCTCCATGGAAAGCAGGCAGCCAGAATTTGTGTATGCTGGTATTTATAGCAGCACTGGCTTTGTGCGATGGAGCCCAGTTGCTGCAAGGTCCCGATGCCAGATAGTTTGTGGAATAAAGTTCATGGTGATTCAATGTGAGCTTGTCTTAACTAAAATACTGCCGACATTTCACTTCGCTTGCATTTTTTTCCCCTCCTTCCGGAAGAACATTGGTTTTGTTGCAGTAAATTTGTGAGTGTGTGTTAATTAATTAATTAATTCGTCAGTGGGCTTTGTAGTGTGCTGAGTTTCCTCCTGGACGCGCTCCCTGCCTGTGCTGGCTCGGGTTGGACACCTGTTTGTTCTGAGCTGTAAAGAGGATTAAGGAAACTGAGMTCTAAGTGAAAGTCAGCACACAACGCTGAGGAAAGGACACCCAGCACTGCGGGTCAAAGGAAACCGAAAAGCAATCCCTGATGCTGAAACCCAGACTGTTAGAGCACTTAAGCACTTAATCCCGGCAGAAACTAGAGGTAATTTGCCCTTAAGTGCTGGCATSGTAAGTGCCTTGGAGAGCATCAGTCGCGGCTGCAGAGAGCTGAGTGCCTCCCGATTTGCTGGGGCTGGCTCTGGTGCTGCTCAAGGGGGTGAAAGGGCACTAAATATGAAACACTGCAGCTCCCAGCGCAGGGCATCCTCCATCCTGCGAGATACTGCATGGGCAGCAAGCTGCAGTCCCAAATCCACATCCCAAATCCAAAACAAGCTCATGGTCATGGGTAAAAATAATGAACTGTAATGCAGCAAGTGTTAGAAGAACCCAGGGGGTTTTATTGCACTGCTCTGGACTAAASTTGTTTTGTTCCAGTTGGAACAAGGACTGAATTTCTGTGTGAAGGCTGATGTCATTCTTATTCCTGAGTTAAACCTGAGCAGGAATTAATGCATCTTTTAATGCGGTGAGATGYAATTGTTATGGAAATCAACAGCTGAAAGTACTCAGTGTCACTTAGAAATTCACCGTGTTTGATGTTATTGTCACTGCAGACACATTGAACACCCAGGTTSCCTACAGACAAGAAAGAATGTGAATAAAGTGAATAAAGAGGGCTCTCTGTTCTGCTCAGAACTGAGCTCAGGGCTCGTGGGCATTGTTAGGGGTGCAGATGGTTTAAGATCACAGGCTCCACTGTGCCGGGAAACGGGGATAAGCCACGTTCCAGTGTCATGCTGGAAATTAGAAATTTGGTAGGCTTTGTTTGCGAGGGGCTTGAGACTTTCTGAAGGGCAGGATGTATGTTTTGCTAGTGAGGTATTTCACATTGTTCACAGTGAAACGTCKGTGTGGCCAGTGTGGCACCACTGAAGGCACTCTGGCCTTCCACAAGCTTTAAATTTCAGTGGCCTTGCTGCTGAGAGACTAAACTTGTTTTTTGTTTTTTCTTCTTCTTCTTCCTCTAAACACTGTAAATATTTTGGCATCGTTTTTGTTTTTGTGGTGTCTAAAGTAAGAGTGAACACACTGTGAATGTTTCCCAGCTGCCCTGGGCTGTGCAGCCTCSATCCTTGCACTGCAAGGACAGCTTGTGTTGGGAGAGGGCTCCTTGAGAAAGGCACAAAGTGCTGATGGCAACAGAGCAGGGGGTGCTCGAGAAAAAGGGGGAGAGAGCTGTGGTGTGTGCTTGTGTGCAAGACCCTCAGAAAAATCAGTATTTCTTGTGAAGTGGGACTAAAGTAGGTGCTTTGCAATACACAGCAAACCTCTGGGGCATTTGGAGTGTGTTTTTCTGGGATTTTTCTTGTGTCAGTGCTGTTTACATGGCTGCGTTCTCAGTGGGAATGCTGGATTATCCAAATAAATTYTTTTAAAAGCTACAAGAAATAGCTGAAGTGACTGTTACAGCTTGCCAAGAAAAAACGACAAACAAACACAGATCCCACCCWCCCAAGAAAAAACCCTCCAAAAATCCAGCAGCCGGAATAAAAACTTCAGGAATGAACTATCATCTGAAATTTATTTATGTTTAGTATTGGAAGAATGCTGGAGAACAAGAATTAGATTGGGAAAGAAAACTGTGGTTTGCAAATGACTCCTAACTAYTTGTAGAAAAATTACACTATCCTGGTATTAAAATGTTGAATTGAAATCAATGTTCAGTGTCAAATCTACTAAATACAGAGAAAACCAAATTTATTTTAGGGTTAAATATTTGGAGTTTTCTGCAAGAAGGTATTTGCAAGTGTTTTTTACAAAACACTGGAGGATTTTGGGTTTGGCCCTTTTTTTCTTGCTTTCTAACTTTTTGAGTATTTTATAACCATAGGACATAGTATAGAATTAGTACAGAAAAACTTGGACTGCTTCAGTCAATATAGTCAAAAGAATTTACGTTAAACATTATTTAAATGAGGAAAGAGAAAAAATCATGTAAAAATAGTCTTTTTTCTAATGATGGGATTTTTTTCTCTCAGGAGTGTTGTTTAGAAACTGTTCAAGTGTGATGAATTGCACTAGAAACTAGACTCTTGTGAGAGGTTTTTGTTAATGAGTATGCTTTCTACAAATACCCGTGAAAAGTCTGTTGTCACACAAKCAGAGGTGAAAATGTTTGTGTTCTAATCTGAATTGGTGTCTTTTATTGTCAAGTGGAAAAGTACAGGTTTTTTTTTCTTGTAACTTCAGGAGCTGGACCTGGATGGCCCTTGTGGGACCTTTCCAGGTCGGGATATTCTGACTCTGTGACCTTTCCTGATTGCAGGAGGAGTTTGGAGTGCAATTACAGGGCATAAAGCAAACCCGAGAAAGCTTTTAAAATCTTTTTTCAACTTGGCAGTGAGAATCTGAAAGCTGAGAGACTGCGCAGTGCTCTGTTTTTGCACGGAGCTGCTTTGGTGAACAAAGGCAGTGCCTGTGAGCAGAGCTGCTCCTGGTTTGCATCTCCCCCATGGCCACCGGCCCTTTCCCTGCCGGATTCCCCTTTTCCGCAGGGACCGATGCTCAGCTTGGCACGGGAAAGGCTTCCCTGGGCTCTGAGTTCCTGTGATTGCAAATTGTGATGTAATCCCCCGCTGATCTGGCCCCGTGGGCAGGCTGGAACAGGGAGAGCTGAAGGGGCAGAAGGAGCGGTGCTGGCTGTGTGGCTGCGGGCTCAGGGCTGGCTGCCAGCCCGTCCTTGGACCGGCGGTGTTCTGCAAAGTGACACGGGCAGTGGGTGCTCCCGAGGAGCTGCCAGCACTCTGCTCCGAGCAAACCCCTCGCCCTGAGTGCTTCCAGTGCTGTCACTGTGCCTGAACCGGCCTCATCTACAGCAGGGGACAGGCAGAATGCAGACAATCAAACCAGTTCTGTCATTGCAGGGCACCCAGGGCAGTCCCACACCCACAATGGCTCACGGGTTTTTCACCTTTCTCACTTTTGTCCATTTGCACATCGGGATTTGCTGAATCCTCCAATTGCAGCTCAGCCAATGCAGTCATTGACTCCAAGTTGGCTCCCCCCAATTCTCTGTTGTTTCCATCTCTTGGGGCCTGGCACAGGGAGGTGTCCTTGAGTTTGGGGGCTCAATTCCTTGAGGAATTGTTTCATGTAAAAATGGGAGAGCAGGAGCTCAGCACTGTCTGTGGAGTGTGGAGTTAAACACTGAAGAATTCCAGGAGTAGAGATATGTGGAAAATGCAGAAGCTGAAATCTAAAGACATCATTATCAGTAAATAATTCAAGTCAGTATTTAAATTATACATATTTACATCATACATTGTTTATAAGAATACATGTGAACTCTTCATCTACCTTGAAACTGAGAAGAATGGGAAGTTTTCTCAGTTTAACTCTTCTGATTTGCTACAAATGAGGCTTTTTAGTAGCAGACAAGTAGATTAGTTCTGTCCCTAAGTGAAAATGAAGTATTTGGGTTGAACTGGGATCGTAATAGAAGTATTATGACAATATGGTAACTTTGCTGTTATTGTGAACATGTATTTACAAACATGATCTCCCTGGACTGCTGAAATTGTGTATGAAAAAGCAACAAATGAAGCAATGCAAATAAAAATCTGTGGACTGAGTGTTACTGTCGGTGGTTGTAGGGACCAGACTGGGTGACCCACATTACACGATGGGAAAAGCAGCCGTTATTTCATTTTTAATCTGTTTGCAGTGGGACCTCATAGTTGTTCTCCACTTCCGCAGAGGAAAATGAAATCTGGCAAAGGGCACGAGGCCTCAGGAACGCGGACAAGCTGTGGTCAGCAGGAATACCCACAAGGGAAACCCCAGGAGGGGCACCCGAGGAATTCCCAGGCATTCCTGGAGATCCCAGGCGAGAGCTGATGATTGTTGCTCACCTCTGGTTTCAGGGCATGGCCTTCACGCTGCACGAACGGCAGATGCTCGGGCTGCAGGGACTGCTACCTCCCAAAATAGAGACACAGGACATCCAGGCCTTACGCTTCCACAAGAATTTGGCAAAAATGACCGACCCCTTGGAAAAGTAAGTGCTGCTCTCCAGCCTTGTCCTGTCGTGTGAGTGAACAGCAATGCTGGGAATGGCAATAAAGTGGAAATGTGGAAATACTGTGCGGGGTAACCAGACAAGGTTTCTAATGCCTCCGCTGGGTTTCTCAGTTCTCGGGTTTTGGCACAGAAAACTGCTTTCATCATGTAATTTAATCACGTTGAGGAGCTTTTTTTTTTAATATTCCATGGCCATAAAACAGCAAAAGAGAATGTGTGAAAATCAGTAATAAAGCTGCAAACCCGCCTGTAACCTGTCATACATATTTCTGTGACAGGTAAGATGGAGTGGCAGGTTGTTAGAGCCTGTTCTAAAAAAATGGGTGATAATGAAGGTAAATTGAGCATTTGAGGTATCAAAGCCAGCGCTTAACATATACAGCAGTTACTGCTAAAAAGGAACTATGAGTTAAGAATTTTAAGCCTAATGATGTGTATTTTTTTATATCAGTCTTTTATTGTTTAACCACTGACTTGGTGAACTGCGAGGGATTTTGCTGTGTTTGTTTTTAGAGTGCCATGTTTTTAACATCCTTTTGCTGTTTTCACATAATCTTTACGTGTATCTGCCTGTAAAAATGCATTTTCCTGCAGGCAGGAGAACTGTAGTGGTTTGGGGCTCACTGGATGAAATCAAAGCTCTTTTGTTCTCACCAGAACTGAAGGGTGGCTCTTCAATCCACATCATGTCATTTGCTGGTCCCAAATAGTCGTGTCATCTGTATTGGCCAGTGCCCAGCTGCTGTGGCCTGAGGCAAATTGCTCATTCACTGTCCTTATGTTGTTGGGTCAGCAGCACTGAGTGTGGGTAAATCTGCAAAAATTCAGATTTAATTTGCACACCCACGTAACTCCTTCAGAGTGAACTTTCTGTTAGGGCTTCATTTGTTTTGTGTGTGTGTCAGTGTTGGGACTCACCAGACACGTTTTTTGGGTGAAAAATCCTTTTGGTGATAATTCTGTTTATAATGGTAATGAGAGTCCTGGTTGCATCCTGTAATAAATCCATGGTTTTCTTTAATCTCATTGTGTGCATTGCCTCGTTAGCACGCATGGTGTGTTACTGCCAGTATTTTTATTTCAGCTTTTTGGTGCTGCTGCTCTCTTTCCCTACTTTTGTTTAGTGCTCAAAGCCTGACTTGAGGGGCAGTAGGGCTTCCATGAACAAATAATAGGAAGCATTTTTTTTGCTTTCCCTTCTTTCACTCTGCTTTAAATAAGCAGAAATGGGGGACAATAAGCGGAGTTTTTCCTTGTTTTGATTAGATATATCTACATAATGGGAATCCAAGAGAGAAACGAGAAATTATTCTACAGAGTGCTGCAGGATGATATTGAGCGGCTGATGCCGATTGTGTACACACCGACGGTGGGCCTGGCCTGCTCCCAGTACGGACACATCTTCAGGAGACCAAAGTAAGGACAGTAAATGCACCTTGCTGCTGCTTTGTTTATTTATTAGCAGTTTCTCTGCATTCTTGCCTGAGGCTTGGAAATGGTTTATGTCATTTTCATTCGGGTTCAGCTACGTGAGGCTTGTGCCAACTGAGGGCAGAAAAGTTTGTTAAAACAGATCTCGAGACACAGTTTATACTGAGAAACAGACAGCTGGAGGCAGAGAGGGTGACATGTCACATAAATAAATAAAAAGTTCCATAGGTCCAGCCCTGATTTCTCTGTCCAGGAGGGATAGAGTGGGTTCTGTAGGTCCAGCCCTCATCTCTCTGTCCAGGAGGGGTCACTCCAGGTGGGTTCCATAGGTCCAGCCCTGGTCTGTGTCCAGGAGGGGTCACTCCAGGTGGGTTCTGTACATCC